TCCCTTCTGCTCAACATTCACTCCCCAGCTGAAATCACTGTAAGGCTGTCTCTGCTATATCAAATCCTTTGAGGAAAGCCAAAGGAAGGCTGCTCTTCTCCAGACATCACTGTGTTTTGTATCTCTAATCAACAGCCTCTTCATTCCCTTCAGCATGTTGCTCTGTGCAATTTTCCTTGGAGAGCTGCAGGAAATTTCTGTTCCAGACTCACAAACAAAGCTCAAAGTCAGCTTCTTTCTGCYTACCTTCACAGGACATGGTCTCTCAGAGGCCACTTTCTCCAGTCTGCATGCTCAGCTTATCTGCCAGCTTCCAAGAGGAGCCCTCAGTTCTTCCCATAGACATCACAGTGCTGTGTTTAACATGGGTTTCACCCTTAATCCCTTTTAAAGGGGATTAAAGGGAACAAATTGATGGAGATAAATCTCATGCCTGTTGACCACACCGGTCAATGCAATGCAGTTGCCTTCAATCAGCCACAGCTGCAGACTGATGACAGCAGGTAGCATTACTCTTAAATCCAAGAGCCGCCCAGTCAAGCCATGGACCAGAGCAATTGGGCACAAAGGCAGTGAAGGAATTTGTAATTAAATTGCTATTAGATGAATAACAGATTGTCTAGCAGCTGACATTGAGTGAAAATACTCTATTCTGTCATGTTTTATCAGCATTAAAACCATTTGCAAGTGCTCTAATTACATTCCTAATTGCCAATGTGATTAGGGACCTGCAGCTGTTCATTAAACGTGTGTCACCCTCAGCCAGCATTTTGTAGGAGAGAGTATTTAATTAATTGAATGGCACACTGGATGAAAGCAGGAGATGGACAGACCTGGAAGATGAGTGAGGAGCAGAGGAACCTTACACTAAAAGGGGTCAGTGGGTGGCATGTTCTTCAAGTGTTGGGCAATGTGTCATACAACCTCTTTCAGAAACTTAACAAGCACAATCATAAAAAAAGTCAGGTTTCTGTTCAAATTATTCCTACAAGAGCTCTCCAGTCTTAATGGTCAGGAACTAATTTCTAGTTTCCAGCAGTTCTTTGTTGATAAGGCAGTGCTCCCCTTCTAGCTTCCTTTGCAACAACAGCCTATGCTCCCTGCCAACGCTTCACCTATTGCATCCACACAGAGCAATCAGAGCTCTCTCAGCTCTCACTTGTTGAGGAAGGGAGGAATCATTTCCTCAGCAGATGTCTGGCTGCTCACCACAAWTCCTGCACCCCTTCTCTGCAACTCTTCCATGCTCTTTTTCTCTTCCTTGAACCTGCTGACTCCTTAGATGGAGATGATCTTCCTCTAGGATGGACAGAAGGACTGTCAGCCTTTCAGAAGCCTCCTGTGCTGCACTTCCACATTGTCAACATCAGTTAAGGCTTGGGACTGCAGCCTCAAGTCTGACTTCCAGAGGAGCCATGGGGGAGACAAACCCAACCTGTGGGTTTGGTGCTGASCTACAAGCACTCGGCCAGGGGAGACAGTAAGGCATATTGCAACTCATACAGTCAGGCACAAGAACCCAATTTCTCTAATAAGTGGGGATGAGAAAAGGTCTGGACCAATACAGACCTACTGTTTTATACAATGACACTGCAAATTGAGTTTAGTTACATTAGGACTCTTAAAAAATTTGTTACATCAGGACTCTTAAAAAAACAGGGAAACTTGCTAGAGCTGGCAGCAAATTCGTGTCACTTTGCTTGCTTGATATTAACAGGAATGAAGTGGCTGAAAGGAGGTAGAAGAGTTTTCCAGTAAATCACAGGCTTGCCAGGAAGGAGGTAAAAGGAGGGACACAGAGCTCTCCTTCACAGAGCAACCCTTGGAGCAAAAAGAGTTTGGAAAACAAAGGGTTTGGAAACYTCTCAAATTTTTCTGGTCCATATGGGCCAAGTCCTTCTCACAGAACCTCTCCAAGTAGGGAGTATAAGGCCTTTGGGATGTAATTCTGCCAGTGGCTGAAATGCTTGTGATATAAATACCTGCACTGGGATCGTTTTGCCTCATCACTGCTGCCAGTGGGAATTGCCCCAGGAACAAAGCAGCAGAGGATGAGAAAGTGTGCATGCTGTCACACGGATGGAGCTGCAGATGTGGCACACAGMTGAAATTACACCTCACTGCATGGACATCCTCTCTCGATGTGTGATGACCACGTCTTGCTGCTAATCCAGAGGGTGGCCAGAGAGCCTGACCTGCAGGAGCTCTGGGCAAGCACTCCCATTTTGTCTTTTATTTAGGATTTCTGTCACTAAGAATTGTCTTGTTCCTCCCGTTTCAGGCTGTGTTTACAAATGCAGGCGAGATGCCAGGGCTCAGAGGAGGCAAGATCATCTCTGTTTGCTGAGCATCTCAGTATCTCCAGCTCAGCCTGGTTGCCGGAGCAGCAGGATGCGGACAGGGAAAGATGCAAAAGTGCGTCCAGCTCATTTCCTTGAATTTAAGATAGTCCAGGGCCTTTGACTTAAAATATGCTTGATCACAGCAGAGAGAATATGAGGAGGCTCACCTTAATCCSGTTTAATTTCCACTTGAGAAAATGTCACTGTGAGAGTTTAATAAGAATTAACTGTTTTTTTTTTCTACAGTTATTTTCAATTAATAGTCCCAGTGTTTCCTGACTCCTCAAATGGCCATTGAAATATCTTGAATGCTGCTTCCCATTCATTAACTCCAGTCTCCACTTACTGTCAGAGCTTGCATTTCCGCCACCGAGATTTATTGACGTTGCAGAGTCCCTCCGGTGTGTGATGGATGGAGAGGAGCTGTGGCTCTTCTCTGGGCCCTCCTTTGCCAGTTGTTGATTTGGGCTGACACCCATCTCTGTCTCAGCCTGGGGATACTTTTAGCCACAGCAGCAGAGCCGGGTGTGAAGGACATGGGGCTGTCGCGAGTCATTTATGAACATGACATGCTCAGTCTGTGAAATCGCTCCTGTGCCACTAGCTGCTGTCTCCAAGGAGGTAATTCAAGTTGTACCTGGTTCTCCTTATTCAGGAAAGTAGAAAATGTCCCCACTGTCTCCCCTTCTAGGACTAAGCTGGCTCCATTTATTTTTCCGTTTGGGAAGGACTTTCTGGAGATMTCTCATCCATTGTTACGGTCAGAGCAGTGCAGACTTCAAAGTTAAGAGTCTTGTCCAGCTGAGATTTATTGTGCCCAAGATCAGAGATTCCTTCACCTCTCTGGGCTCCTGTTCTAATATTTGAACACTCTTGGCATGACTTTTTTTTCTTATATTGTATTTAGTCAGAGCTGTGCAACTTGTGCCCATTACCTCTCAGCCTGTCACTGTGAAAGTTAGAGTGTGACCGTCTCTTCTCTCTAAACTCCCTCTGGGGGGTAAGAGATGCTATTAAATCCCCCTGGACCTCCTCTTCTCCACGCTGAACAAACGCATCTCCCTCAGCCTTTCCAGGTATAATGCTCTGGTCTTCAGAGTGTCTCGGTGTCCCCTTCCTGCAGTCACTCCAAGACATTGATATTACTCCAACAGCCCCAAATTGGGCACTTCAGCCAGATGTGGTCTCACAAGCACCCTATAAAAAGGAATAATCACTTCCTCCAGGCTGCTAGCTATGGTCTTGCTAACGCAACTCACTATGCCATTAGTCTTCAGCACTGCAAGGGCAGAGTGCTGACTCACATGCCACCATTGATGACCCATCCTCATGAGATACCCGGAGACAGGAAACAAATTAGTAGCAGAACCCAGAAGGGATATGAAATCCAATGCCAGATCTAATATGTCACAGATTTCCCTTCCAGGCACTGCAGTACACTTCAGCACTGTCAACATCTTTAATCTTTTAGAGGATCCAGCAGAAGTTGCCTGAAGAAGTTGTTGACCCAACTGAAAGGCCCAGCCAGTGCAGAAAGCTCTTTCACTACCACACAGTGGGTAAAGGAGGATGAGGAGCTTGACTTATCTCTCCTTATTACGTACTGATGTTTCCTAGAAACTGCTGCCGTTAGTCTCTGATGTGAATCTGTGTGTAATTCTGTAAATCTGAATGTAGAAGCACTGTCACTGGGTCAGAAGCAAATCTTGTTTTCTCTTTGCTGCAATCTCTGGGGTTTTGATGCCAGAACAGCGTCTCTGTGACTCTCTCACATGCTGGGAGACCAGTGCTCAGCAGTCCAAGGAAAACTACTCCATCCAACTATACAACAAGCAATTGAGTAGAGTCCTGATCTTTAATTGAGCAAAGAGACACCACAACAGTGCAAACATTCAAGTCACAAAGCCCTGCGACTGCCTCGGTAATAATTTGTTGCAGGGACTTTCTGCCCTGTCCAGAACCTGCTGAACCATCTCCATCCTATAAAATCAATAACATGGTGTTATGTCTCTAAGCCTCTTCTCYCAGAGGGTGGAGGTAGATGGCAACCTCTGGAGTGGGATCTGCCTTCCCACCTTGGAAGTCTTCTCTGGGAGAAGATTGATCTCACTTTGGACATGGTCCTTTTCCTCTGCACTSTTATTGCTATGCTTGACAGAGAGCCTTTGGTCTGAAAATTTGTGGTCAGCATGTAGGACCAGAATGAGCAGACAACTCTTTAGGTGTTTAGACCATCTTTGTTTTTATTCTTCTACAATACCACCTCCTCCATAACAGCTCCTTATTCTCACTCTACTCCTCTGGTCCTGGTGCTTCCCCCTCCTCTAAACAGCTCAGACCTCCTTTTCACAGGAGCCACCTTTCTCCCAGAGATGCCACATGCCTCTTTCCTCTGAATTTCTCTTTAATTATTTCCTCCCCTTGCACTTTCTGCACTAAACCATRCAGACTTTATCACGCTCCAAATGAAGGGCAAAGTATGAAGATAAATTGTGTCATATTTATGCTACTCTGAATTGCTGTGAGCAGGAGCACTGCAATTTTAAAAGCTTTTATAATCAGTTAAAGATTTAGATTTCTTTTGTTAGTGACATTTGCAACTTGATGTTGTTAAACACTTGAGTACAGCTCATTTGCAGACATTACCAAACATATCAGAGGAGTCTGAAGCATTAACAGACTTGCTAATCTGCTATTATTTACAATACTCTGGTTATCACCAAGCCAAGAGCTGTTAGCCTACAGCTGGAGCATAATCTTCCTTAAAAGCAGCATTAGTTTCACAGCCAGCCTCCTTTGCTGTGCACATGCTGTGGGAAACAGCATTCACCCTGTGTCTCTCTAGGCACAAACAGTTAAGGGTGTAAATTCTATGGATCAGAAGGATCTTTTGATTCTTCCTTATCAGCAAGATGCTTTGATAGCATCCAWGTGACTTTTATGGAATTAAAAAGAGAATGTGCAGGACAACCCATCACATAAAATGTGAACTGATTCCAAATAGACCATGGCAACCCAGATTGCTGATGTTTCCTCTGTGCTTTGGTGTAAAGCAAGTGTGGAACTCTCCAAATTGGAGACTTSGCGATGGCACAAAACCTCTTTGAAGGCAGGCGAAGGAGGAGTTGCTACATCTGGGGCAAGAAGGACCCCGATGGCAATGGCTCCAGCCACACTATTTCCGCAAGGTGGAAATCATAGATATTTCGTAGACATTACCATATTTCTTTGGYGGGGGGACACATTGTTCTTCTGTAGCCTGCTCTTGAGACATTGTCAAGTCTGGTGCACAGCAGATAAAAAAAAGTTATGGTAGATCTTTACTGTTCTCTTGAGACATGGCATTAGCCTAACTTGCAGGTAGGGTGTTCCTCAAGGAGGATGGCAAGTCTGTAGGAGGGTGGAGAAGAGACCAAGTGATTAAGAGCCGATTAATCACCACTGTACTCATTGGGAATCCTCCTGCACCCAAAACCTTTCACTGCCTCCTGAGGGTAGATTTGAGCTGCTCTGATTCTACCTGGCTTTAAGCAAGAAGAGGTGCACTTGGTCCTTAGCACTTCCAGGGCATCTCTTGGAAATTTTCACAGTAGAACCAAGTGAAGGGTTTTGAATTCATTCAATTTAGAATTCATACTGTCTCTGTTATGACGACTGCTCTCACAAAGCTGGACATGGAGGAAGAAAAAAGTTGTTTATGTGTTACAGTGTCCTTTCTGCATACAGTCTCACCAGTCAGACCTTGTTCCCTGCTTAGCAAGGCTGATATCAAATGCCATTTCCCCAGGCCTATACTAAGATGGCCCATTTATTGTTCATTAAACAATTGCAGATCTTTGTAGACCTGTCACACACTTTTTTGACATGTGCCTGCACATTCCTCAGTTTACCATAGGGTCAGTGGGGCTTTCAGGCTTGATTTCTCTCACGGCAGAGGCAAGTATCTCTACCTAACTCACTCCTCTTGCTTGGCTTCCATGCTAATTTACATCATTWGAAATTTGTTATTTATTAATGAGGGTTCCACTATCCCCCAGGAGATGGGGTGATCTAAGGCTCACTAGAGCTGGGCAATGAACTTCTCATAACTGGATGAATGTGAAAAGCAGCCTTGAAATTCAGTCTCTATTTAGTCCCCATCTTCACTATGGTTGGGGCCAATTACAGCCAAGTGCTGTGGACATCTGTCCACCAGGATCCAAAACAAAATTATTGTTTTCTTTCACATTAGAGACTAAAGAGACATGAAGTGGYGATTACTTCATCTAATTAACATCCAAATTTTAAGCTGGGCTAGTCTTTAATCAGCRATTCAAAAATGAAAGACTACATTACCATCCCTAACACTTAAGAGAATCATTCCCCCATAAATATCTTTAAATGACAATTTTGGAGCTACTGGTTACACAGGAGGCAATGAATTACTTGCTGTGTTTAATACAGACACATAATTTATTGAACTGAGAGAATTAAGTCTTTCTAGTCTGTTGGAGATGAACCCAAGCAGACATGATTTAGAAGGCAGCCGATAATGGCAGCCCTTAGCATGGCACGCAGCAGGCTGGCGGCTGTGCCACCGCCTGCGTAATTTACAGCTCTTTGTTGCCAGAGTGCAATATATTATTAATCAGTCATATATTAGGAGATGGATCTCCTATTTATATTGGCTTTAATTAGACCGGTCTCATTTAAATCTCCGAGTGTGCCCGGGATTAATGGCTTAACAGGGAGAGGTATATTCTGGCACACTGTTACTATCTCCTTTCTTAGATTCATCTGAAGGTGTTTGGGTAGCCATTAAGATTCATATCCATGATGACACTGCCATGCACCATTCCTTGTACCTCCYGAGTCATCAGCAAGATCTCTTTGGAATTATTTTGAAAAGGTGAAACCACAGCTATTAAAGAAAAGACCTTGAACTGAATACATTGGGGACAGAAACAGCATGTTTGGTATGCAGCATAGATGCAGAAGGATGAATGTTCCTGYGCAAGAAAATGAATACTGAAGGGGAATGAAGCATTTGGAATATGTGATCAGCTGTCATTTCCAGTGCACGGGGGAGAAGGAGTGTTGGGCCAGTCCTTGTCTCATGATGTCAACTGCGGTTTAAATGGACAATTTTGGCAGAGAAGTGGATTTAACTCAGAGGACCAAAAGAAAGGAGTCAGAGGATGAGAAAGAGAGAGAATGAGAAGTTTGAGGAAGAGAGCATGAGATCTTCATGCAGTTAAGCTGAGAACACTCTCCAATGGTCTTTGCACCTGTAAAGACAACCCTTTCCAAAGCAATGATCTTGTTAGGAAGTCTCCTACTGCTAGTCAGCTTTTGCTGGTCTCTTGCGAGAGTCTATTTAGCATCTCCATCCAGCTTACAAGGGCATCCCTTTTCAGTGGGGCAGCAAAGGCATCTCCGCTTCATCATGATCTGGTTCAGGACCAAGCACATAAAGAGTCTTCCTAAAACAACTGAGGCAGAGATATAGGGTGGGGTAAAGCAGCACAAAGCAAGAGGGCAGGAAGCCCCGAAGAAAATGTGTGGAGCGCCAGGAGCAGGGAGAGCAAGAAAGTGGAGCATATAAGAACAAGGAAGAAAAGAGGATGAGTGARAAGCTGCTATTGCCATGCCTGAAGATACAGAGCTTGGTGTCTCTGGTTCAAGGTCTATGTTAGCTACAAGGAAACTGCCCGATGCTTTTGAAAAATGCTTGCTCGAATCCAATGCTTTGCAAATGAAGCAGAAGTCACCATTGGGCAGAAAGTTAATTCCCCACAATGACCAAAATGCATTTTGGGCTAGCAGTTACAGTGTTCTTTCCAAAGTTTCTGCCTCGTGTGACTCCGCCAGCACAAATCAGGACTAGTGAATCTCAGATAAATAGTGTTGGGGAAAAAAAATAATAAAATAAATAAAATAACAGCTGGGCCCTGGGGATTGAAGCTCTTCAGTAAATAACAACTTAACTAAAGCATTCAAGGAAAAGCAGAGTTTGTTCATGAATGATTTATCACCCTGCCTTACCCAGGAGGTCAGATTAGTTGATCATAAAAGTCTGTTAAGATTAATGTCTTTAAGAATTAGCCAGAAAGGAAACAACATTGCAGCTAAGATTTCTCAGTGCTGTGCTATAAAACACATCCCTTATGTTAGTAATTGCAAATGARCCACGTATTTGTACTACTGTTGTGCAATCCTTTATTTTGGACACATTTATGTCACAGAAAGACTATTGTTTTGCGGTAGAACAGCCCATAGCACATAAATATTAGCACAAGTACTTTTTATCATTACTGTTTTTAAGACACTTCAAAACCTTGTGCCAGTTTCCTTACCTGTAACCCCAGCAGCTGAAAAGTTGAGAAAACTATTTCCTCATTTCCAAAACATTTAAAAAAAAAGTAAAATCTTCTTCCAAAACCAAAGGAAAAAGTTAAAAAAGAGTATCCAAGGGAAAAGAAATTATATATATGTAAATATTTATGTATGCATATATATACACACACATAGCTTCAAATAGCTTTGTTTTAGTTTCAACTTTTAAATCTTTGAAGTACTTTTCARCCATTTGTTAAATACATAGACACTAGAAACTCTCTTCCCAAGACTCAAGTCTTGACTTTTKCCATTTCAAACCATTCCATTTCCAGCCATTTCAAACCACTTATCTACCTAGCAGTTTTTCACTTGAAGGATTCCTTGAAACCACATACACCTCTCCAGGCATCCGTATTTTTAAATTAAAAGGGAGAATTCARTCAGGAACTTACCGGCAGACAGGGATGTAGCCTCACATGTAGGAAGGACTTGGGTGATGGGCTCCAAGCASCAGCTCTGACCTTCCAGCAGGACTGCAGCCTTTCCAGCAAGGTCCCATAAACCCAGCACATCACAGAGCTGTGTTTTCAGATTGAAAGCATCACATTCAGTATCGTCCTGGCATGATAAACTGTAGCTCCAAATAGATRAGGTTTATACAAAATAGTCCCTCCTTGTGCACTGAAATATGTAATTTGGCTTCACCTTTTAAGTCTCTTTCAGCCACTTAAGGGATGAAGGTCGTCTATAAASTGCGTGGTAGCTCTGGCACAGCATTTCACCTCCAAGCAGGTGTCATTAGGACTTATTCTCTGGCTTTGTAGTAAGTAGGATGCTGGACTAACAGACCCTCCATCATATCTGCTGTGCCAAAACCCATACACTGTCCTTTCTCCTGCATCACTTCCCTAATTTCCTGGAGAATCTACACTTGAACTTCCCCATGGACCTGGCTTCTGGCTTTGACATACCTGTCCTGTCATCTTGATTTAATCCCTTCCACTAAAAGGAGAAAATTGCCTCATCAGTCCCAGTTTTACAGCTCTTGGGTTTATGCGCCTGTGGMCTGCATGGCCTTGCTTTTTACAGCACCACATCAGGGACCCATGGTAAATTGCTTATTCAGTGAGGCTCTAAAACCTTTCTGGAGCCACTGATTCCCCAGGAGCCCATTTTGAGCTCTCTTTTGACTAAGTCCAGCTTATTACGGGATCCAATTTGTTCCCTTAGGCCTGTCCTTAACTATTCTTCAGATATTGCCAAGGTAACCTGTGTCAGTCACTTGCTTTAGCAGCAGCGATTTCATATGCCCTTGCAGATCACTAATGAAAAGTAAAGCCTTGTCAAGATCCCTTTTAGATGCCAGTAGACCATCCCACTTTGTATTGATCCTGGGCTGATCACCCATAGTTTGAGCTAGATGCTCCTGTAAGGACACATTCCTGAGCCTGTTTGCCCAGAAGACATTGAGCAGCTACAAGGATCTGGCAGTTCTGATGTGCCAGTTGCAGTGGCCGAGAACTTCACAGAAGTATGGAACCACAAAGCAGTTGAGGCTGGTGGAGACCTTTAAAGGTCATCTAGTCCAACCCCTCCTGCTCAAGCAGACTCGTATAGAGCATGTTGCCCAAGATCATATTCAGATGGCTTTGGAATATCTTCAAGGAGAAATCACCACGGTAGCCTTTCAGTGACTGACTCCAATAGCTCTCTGTGTTGGGAATACCAGAACTGGACACATCACTACACATGTGACTTCATCACGGCTGAGCAGAGAGGAAGGACCACATCCTTCAATATTGGCAATGCTCTTCCTAACACAATCCAGGAGAATTCCATCATTTTACAACAGAAGAAGAGGTCAACACCCCTAATTTGCCTTAGAAGAGATGTGAACACTTAAACCCACAGAGAAAGAAGAGGCTGGCAAAGAGCRGAGCTGGAGTCACAGCAAGGGCAGGGAGGGCCTTGACCTCTTTGGAGAGCTGAGACCAGCATCTTCTCCAGCACCTCCAGACCGCAGCAAAGCGAGCAGCATGTTTAAGCCATCTCTTCCCAAGTGCCTCTCCCTGCTGCTGCCAAGCTGAGCTTTTCAGCTAAACAAACATTTGTTTTAATAGGGGGCCATTACTGGAATGTTTATTTCATCTCCACAAAAGATAGGGAATAAAAATGAAAAATTGTGGTTTTTATTTACTTGCAAGAGAGGCAGCGTGGGAGCTAATGTTCTGTGCCAGCTCTTCTCAGGAGTAACTGTCCCCTCTACTGTAAACTCCCCATAAAAACAATAAATAAAAATGACAGAAATAAAGAAAATCAGAGAACTATTGTTGGGCAATTTCATTACAGAGGCAAGTATCACCTGGATGCGTTCGAATTGCTTTGGCTTCTTGCRATGACATTGCAGTGGGACACCACGTTTAACCCCTAAAACCCAAGCCATAGCTAGAACTGACCTTATTAGAATTACACACATATTCATGGAGCTCTCCAAGCMCCTGGTTAATATTTTCATCTTTTATGGTAAGGCCATAAAAGATGTCAAGGCCATTGTGTTTTAGGATAATTTTCTTTCTTGTGCTCCCAGACTCATGACATTTATGGCTAATCTCTCTATGCATCTCTGTAACATCTCTATACCACAACCACTTGGGCTTCACAAATTCCTCCGAAGCCCCAGAAGGGTGTTTGGAAAGAGCCACAGAGGAGTACGAGAACAACCTGTCAAGAAGAGGGGGAGTTCAGCCAGTGTGAGACCAGCATAGCAATTAGCTGGCAGTTGTGTGGAGTAATGGTTCCATTACTGATCTATTATTGAAAATAATGGAATAATAACACACCGCTGTAAAAGCATCTACTGTGATATCCAAGGGTGCAAAGTAACCCAAMATTATCTGATATAAATACTCCAAAGGGCCTAACAGGTAAAGTCTGAGAGGATATAAGCAGGCAAAAGCCTTTTTGCTGTGTTTCAAAGGAGGCAGCCRAATCCTAGAGCAAGCAAAAGTCATTATCCAAGCCAAGGAGGCGGCTTCGGTAAAGTGTGGTGTATGGCATGGGTGGTCCCTTCCCAGAGGGAATGCCTCCAGATGAAAAGTGGCTCTGAGAGAAAAACAAAGAGGAAGATAAATGTCCAGAAACTTTGTGCTTTGAAGAGAAACTGAAAAGATCGATTATTTCCTTCGGAGGGGAGACGAATGTGAAGGGTCTGGAGAAGAGCCTACAAAGTTGTGCGTGGTCTGCAAAAGAAAGATTAGGACCTTTGGTTCCTCAACACAAGAACAAAAAGCTGAAAGAAATCGCAGACTACCAAGAAACGCCCTCCACATCCCTCCTCACCCAATACAAAAATTTGCCATGGAAATTCCTGCCTAGAAAGTCACTGTCAGCAGTACAAAGCAGGGCTGGCTACTCGTGTCCTGAATGCGAGTGCCTGGCTTGCTATCACAAACAGTGATTTTACTGTTAGAAGTGTTTAGTCACTGTGCTTGAGGCGAGGGGATGTCACATGTGGCCAAAAATGAAGGTTTTTTCTCTTAACTTTTTCACATTGATGGGTAAGCACGATGTGAGCCTCTGGATAGAGACCTAATGGAATCTATGCCCACTGACAGTAAGATCCATCCAGCCACCTGTTTTGAAGGTATACCTGGAAAAGACAGAAAGAGGCTCAGGCCAGCTAGATTTATCCACAGTTCAGCTTTGTTCTAACTAGGAGAGAAAAAGAGAATTTCCAGCCCATGCCCCGAATCAAGCTCTCAGAGCCACATCACCTACAGCATGCACGAGGGACTATGCTGCTCTCATACACTCCTGTCATTCCCAAGCCTAACAGGCAGTGTGGCCTCCCAGGAGGTCAAAACCACTGGACAGCAGGAGGAAAACTCATGACAACATGGAGAAATGCTTGGAAAAGAGCAGRATGTGGCTATATGGAACAGCTCCATGCCCAGCTTGTCATATCTCATGGTCTGGCAGGGCCAGCCTCCCCCCAGCCCCTTGGTGCTCGCCTTTCACACACCCTGCCCATTGCTGCTAATGACATGGACATGTTCATTCAGAGCTAAAATGGCAAAAAGACTGGTCAAAACRCTGTCATATAACAGATTTGGAGCCAGATAATGAAGAAAAATAGCTGCATTATCTGCTCTGAGCTATTTAAAGGAGAGAAAACAGACAAAATATGCAGAATCAGAAGGGACAGAGCTGGCTTCTCTTTTGGACCAAATGAGTTTTAATGGCAGTGAATTGAGGATAATTTGGTGAAGGATCTTTTGCTGGCAAAACAGCACCAGCCATCCCCAGTTCTGTGTTTGGGTTTGCACAGCACAGAGGTAGCAGCTGCTTGCACCCACACTGGCTCTTGGTTGAGGCATTGAGTAGGACCTAGCCCGTGATTGCACAGCTTGTGCTTGAGCCCCACATGGAACTACATGGGAGCACAGAGGTAGTCACARAGACTTAGAACTAGACTCAACAGTGGCTTCCCAGTCACTCAACCCCAGGCTTCAAGCACTGGGTTTTTGCAAGCTACTCTTTTGAAATGTCACCACCAACTTTGCAGTGACTGATCATTCTTTAGACACAAACATCTCCTCGTCCTGCGTGCACTCAACCAAGGCAAATGTATTCCAAAGACRGTTTTTTTCCAAAGAGAAACAGCTGGTAGCAGCAAGGGAGCTGGAAGCAGGGCAGGGACTCTGAAGTAGCTTGCTAGACAGGCAGCCTGGATACATCCATCTGCATCTCTTCCCAAGGGCCCAGAATGAGGGAGAAAAGCTGAGTTTCACTTTACAAGAATAAAAAAAAAGTAGTCAGAGAACAGGAACATGTTGCAGCTGTCAATGCAGTTGATGTATTCAAAATGCCCATGGCACAGTCTCATGATCTCCTTATCCAAATGCACTAGCAATCAGGAGCTAAGTGAAATGCTGTGTTGCCAGGAATCACCAGTGAACTTCCTTTCAGGAAAGGATTCAGAAGTCTTGAAGAAGGCAAGTGGACCATACATTTTAGTCAGATGAAGACCCTGAATTTTCAAAAGKGCCTATTGATTTGGGCCTTGTTGTGCTGCCCAGGGACCAATAGTCAGGATTTCTGCAACATCAGCRCGAGTCAAGAACAGAGGGAGGAGGATGGAGGATGTCTGGGCAGCACAGACTTTGTGAGACAAGGAGTTCCCACACAGTAACAGGAAGCCCCAAATCTGCCAGGTGGTTTATGTCCTGCTGAGGCTGACCATGTAGCAAGGTAAAGCACCCTGTGAACCTGCTGCACCCCAGCTCTGCCAGAGCTCCAGAGTTTAGCAGCAGGATGGGACCCCAATGAGTTCCTCCATGCGAGTCCTGGAGGAAGGAGAACTTGCAGGACCATATTGCCATTGAAACATGTGCAATATAACTATGGCACATTACATAGAGTCAGGGAAAGTTGCTAATTACCCACAAATAACAAGCTACAACCATATAACACACTTAATTAGAMGAGAAATTAATCACAACATGGAAGAAACACTTTAATTATCTCAATACACTGCACTGTGTAATAATGAGTGTCACTAGAGCTGGTAAGCACTGGCTTGTGGTCTCAATCTCATTAAGTCCAGTCTCCCACCACACTCCTTCAAGCATATCCATGCACATTTGACCTCGCACATCGAGGTTCCTGCTGCTGTAGCACAGAGCTGGGCTTTCCCCGCCTGGAAGGGGTGCAAAAGCTTTATATCACACACTCTGGGGTTACACTACCCCTGCAGTTCCAAAACAAGCCACAGAGCAAWGTCAAAGTGATGGAGAACTTGATGTGTAGGGAGAGAAAAAAATATATATTATATATATATTTTAGTCTACAACCACAGGTCTCTAGAGAACTTCAAGGAAAAAGTGCAAGAAAATTTTCAGAGCTTATCTGGGCAAAGTCCTGAACGACCATCTCTGATTTTGAAGTTGGCTTACCTTAGAGCAGGGAATCGGCCTAGACACATCCAGAGATCCCTTTCCACCCAAAACTTCCTATGCTTCTACAAACGTGGCTTGCTCCAACCTACTATTCCCTTGATTCTGCTAACATGACACTGCTTGGTTTAATCCTTATGCCTCAGACTCTTCTAGGTTTGTTTTGCTTTGTTTTTGCTTTCTTTGTGCAGCATTTCTGCAAACATCTCCCTCGATGGCTCAGGGAACTCCTCCAGGCCTACTCCAGGTTTTCTTCTCCCAATGCAATTTTACTACAGCAGAGATTTCAATATACCTCAACCTTACCTTCAATCTCCTAATCAGCCAATCCCCCATTTCTGCACACTTCACTGTCCTCCCAAATCATCACTGTGCCTCACATTGTGTCATCTCCTATTTGCACTTTCCTGCAAGTTCTCACATCCGGCATGTATGTGAGGCTGGCAGATTCCCTTTTCCTCATGTGTCTGGGATATAGCTGGTCTCATTCTTCTACATGGCTGAGACTTGYCCTCAGCCTTTTGGAAACCCATGGTTTTCTGCTACTATTTATGCCAGATCATTTTCCTACCCGTTGCTCCCCAAATCACCAGAGCAGATGATTCTTCTTCATAAAACCTATTTTTGTGTATATGGCCCAACTCTTTCTTATCTTCCAAAAAAGCCCCTATATGCTTCCTGCCATGCTACATTTCACACGGCAAGCATTCCCTACAAAAGACATACGAAACTATTTACTGGACCCCTGCAAACACTCCTTTACTGTGGGATATCTATCGAGACTCCAAAGTCATTGCCGGAGTTAGCACCGAACATCATTTTGCTCTCAGCAGCCACATTCTCCTTACCTTGACATTATCGTCACTCTCAAATCACAGAGTCCTGTGAATATTTGCAGCAGCTTCTTCTCCAAGAACCTGGGTGCAGCATCATGGTAGCACTATCTACATGGTGGAAGGTGGTACCAGGCTTGGTACTATCTGGGAGATGTCTCTCTGGCATCACTAACACATTATTATAAGGGTGTCTCCCCTCTTCTCATTTGCCAAAATCCACTAGGAGGTAGAGAGAATCCAATTAAAGCAGGTGGAACACGTCACTTCCCCGTCACTGCTTCTGCTCAGTTGAGGTTAATTAGATAATTATTCACATGTTGACAGCTTGTCAGCCACTAAGAACACAGTGATTACCAGTTGGGAAAGCTTTAGTTCCCTTATAGCTGTGTTGAAGGTTTTGCTGATACATACAGACACCTCTGTTCCACGGATTTGCTAATGCCTTGTGATGCCCTTCCATAGCCTGGAATGAGAGGAGATGGCACTCGGCACCTCTCTCTGGGGAGGCACGGCATGGGGAGGACTGCAGCTTGAAAMACATCCACTCAATTACGTGATCCAATTAGTGCTATACGCACGCCTTTGCAGTGGTGTTTTGTGGTCTCAGGCGTTATGGTGTGAAGAGAGGTTCATCATTTTGATGTAATCTATGAAACCCTTGTGAGTGCATAGCCAGCTCTTTTATTTGCACTGTGAAGCCTTATGTCTCCGAGCATGTTGCACGCTGGATTTGCCATCAGCATAAAGCATTACCACTATCTTCTCTGTCAATAGCAATGTCTTATCGCACATTTTTTCTAGCAAAAATGCAGTATCTTTTTCCAAACTTCCAGATATTGCACAGTGACTGACGACACGCCACATCCATGAGATGTAACAAGGCAGCACCTTATAAAATCACCCAGGATAATATGTTCAGCAGATTATGTCATGATGGACTGTCTCCCAGCGTTAGCCTAATAGGGCAAGACGTRAAAACGGCATTGCTAAACTAGTGCTTCTGTCAGGAGCGTCAAGTAGAAAAACTGCACAGGAAATCTGAGAGGCGGAGATGGTGCTGGTGCACAGCACACTGTCCTCAGAGCTTGACAGCATCAGGGGTCTTGAACATGGGTATACTCAGTGCTATACTTGCTCCTGCTCCTCATTTCTGTTCCAGTGAGATCCAGGGATTACCTGTCATTCGGCATTGTTAATTTGGTTCTGTTATCTCCTTCACATCCAGTGGTGATGAGCAGAATTGGCCATGCTAAAAATACCGGCGTTATGTAACACCTTGTTACAAAAACGGCCTCATTCCCAGCAGCCAGTTCAGATCAAGTGAAGACATCAAAAGCCATTCCAGCCCTGGGAAACACGTCCGTCTGCTACAGCACATAATTAAAAAGTTTAGATGTAGCCTTCCACTGTGCCCTGTGCACTGGGAGTGGGAAGGAAAAACAGGGCTCACACTGTCCTTTAAAGGAAGGGTCTGTGCAAAACAGTGACTATGCAAAAAGCAGAGCATCCTTTCCAAGAGCTACCTACTGAGTAGATCTGCAGCTGCATTAAAAAAAAAAATATGTCTCTTTTATGAATATCTGTGCGGACTGGAATTGTCCTTGACAAACCAGGAGCTATCTTGTCTCCACGTCCTTCAGTGAAATGAGGGTGATACCTTCTTATCACCAGCTATGGAGCTCACTGGACAGGGTTCCCTCCAGCGGGGCAGAGATGGACCTTCTGCTCTGCTCCCAGCATTCACAAAACTCACAGGAACTCTGATGAATCTGCTTGGAATTGGTTAAAAAATTATGAGGGCAAGGGACATATGGTGTGACTGACTGAGCACAGCTGGGTAACAGCATATGTTACTGTCCTTTACATTTCTGTAGGAAAAAAAAAAAAGCATAAGGAATCCAATGTCATCTACTGCACATCAGGGAATTACTGTCCTTGGGGCATGCAGGCAGCCATGGTACAAAAAAAAGTTTGTTTAAGGGCTTTGCTGAATTTCATAACCTATTTCACAAGCGATATTTATCCCATAACCAGGCTGCTAGACTAACTCCATGGAGTGCTGCATGTATTTCAGAAAATGCTGTTCTTTTTTGTTACTACTACTTCTTTTTCCTCTCTTGCCTTCCTCAAGCTTTCTCAGCATATGCATTACCTCTCCCTGGGATTGCTGAGCTCCAGAGACTGCGGCACATGGCAAGAAATTTGGGATTTCATCACAAGCTCCCCGATCTGAGTTGCGCAAGTGGGAGATTTAGCACGTTCATGGCTGATCACCCTGTTGTCAAAGGCCATCTGGCTAAAGGGGAAGCAGCAAGTGCAGAGAAAAGGAAGCCAGAAAAGAGAGAGCTCAGGTCACTCAGGGCAGGAGCTGTTCTCARTGCACAGGAGTCTTCTGAGACCCTCAGATGAGTTTGACCTGCAGAGGAGACCATGTTCCTCTGTAGTCCCATCATAATCAGCAGCAGTGCTCAGGAGTGAGCTAGAGCCAAGGGGGCATTTCCCAGTCAGCATGGGAAGTGCTTCCTTCYGGGTCCCAGATCACAGCAACTGCAGTGGCTCGGATTTTCCTGTTAAAGTTATGTTGAGTGGAAAAGGAAAGGAAAACAGAAAGGAGAGGAAAACACAAAGAGCATTGCCATGAAACAACCTGGGAGAAGCTGCCATAGCCTCCCATACAGAAGGATGGTCCCATGGACTGGGATCTAGGGAGGGTTTTGACGAGCCAGTTATTCTCACATTTCAAGCTCTGCCAAAGCAAGTCTGAATCTGTCTCAGATCAAACAGAGAAAGGAAAGGAGAAAGTGCCTTTCCCCTTATCTGATCTGAAGGAACATGAGGTCTCTATACTAAGGGCACAGGAGCCAAAGACAGAGCAAAGAGAAAAGATGAGTGCTCAGATACTGGTTTTGGTGTATTTTTCCCAGGGGATTTTATGAGGAGGAGACTCATGGAAAGGTAGTGGAGACCAGCTGCTACTCTAGATATCTGAAGAGGGAGACAAGCTCTGGAAGAACCAGGATAAAAAAGATGCAGAAGGAACTAATTCATGCATGGTTTACTAATTGATGCATGCTGATGTGCAAACTAAGCACGCTGGGTACAGTGCATTTCTTCAAGACAAAAACACCCAACTGTTTAAACCAAGATGATTTAGGAGGAAGGGTTCATCTTCACTAGTCTGCAAAAGACCAAATGGCGGCAGAAAATGCGTCAGGGATACAATTCTCATTGATTTTCCAATAAAAATCTAGACAACATGACCAAAGCATACAGTATTCAGTGACAAAGAATCCACCATAAATTTCTTGGCATGCCTGTACTCAACATTATTCCCCTTTAATACCAAAAGGTCTCATATACTCTGCAAAAAGGCCCAGTCAACCCACTCTCTCCTTTGTGGTTTGACAGCACACAAAGATTGGAGCTCTACAAGCCATTTATTTTTCAGTCAGGGACTAAATCAAGAAAATTAAGAAAATATATTTTAGATATATCCAAAATAAAAATGTTACAGTTTTCTTATTGATCTAAAAGTCCATTTTATTTCCTCTTGAGGGCTGCTAATTTTTCACTTCCCTCTGAAAAATTAAATCTAATTTTAGAACTGGGTCCTAAAAGCTATTATTTTTTAAAATGTCAAAATTAAACATTTTATTTTTCCCCTAAATACCTTCAGGTTTCAATTTGCCTTGGATATTTGAAAACTTTTACTCAATCCAAAACTCCATTTCCCAGGGAATAAGTCATTTTCGGGAAGCAGGGCAGCCAGCTCGCGTTATGAGCACAAACATTCAGGCTGTGCTAGGTTGTGTGCAAAACGCTACTGCCCTTCTGATACTGCAGTCAAAATCAATTACAACTGCAACCAGTTCAGCTATTTCCATAGTCTGCTTTTCTGACAGGGCAAAATCCCATCCAGGTAGTATTTTGCAAGAATTTTCTCTCAAAAAGAGATTTCTCCCTGACAACAAGATGCCTGATTTCTAGCTCCRTTTTAGTCCCAGCAGCTTTTTTCCTTCCACTTCTTTCTTCTTACTTTCTTTTGCCATCTTGTCATATATACTGCTGGAGAACTTCCTTTTAACCATTCTGTCTTTTTAAAAATATTTTCTGGTTTATAAGCATTGTTGATACCAACCTTTTTCTTGTCACTCTCTCTTCTGGTTGCTGACCGAGGGCTGGGAGCCAAACAGTGTGTCCAGGTGGACTTGGTTCAGGAGACAGATCTGATTTAAGATGAAGGGGCAGATCATCCCCACATTAAAGGCATGCTGATGTCCCTGTAGCCTGGATCTGACTCACAGACAGGYTTTATGATGGGGCACAAGGTCGGATGGAGCACAAGGCCACCAAGACCCTTGCCCCATTCCCTTCTCCAGACCTATTCCTTGAGACCACAAGCCAGCCAAGGGTCCTTCCAGGCTGCACTGAGCTGGGAACGGCCTTTAACTTGCAGCCTTGACAAGATTTACACACATCATGAAGGGTGAATCTAGTTCCTTTATTTGCTCCATAAATAGTTCCCATCTCTACTTGAGACTTATTCCCYTTCTATAAACCCTGACATTTTATTTCTTCCCCTAGGAAGGACCCTACAYGGTCCATTCTGTCCTAATGGATTCTCAGGTGACACTGTGTCAGTGGTACATCCTCATCCATCTTACATCACCTTACAGTCAAACATCTCCATAGAAAGACCAGGAACATCCAGATCATGAAGCCACATCGTCACAGTTGATTAAGGCAGGAAATGGAAATAAAAGGTAGTGATTTTCATGGTKCACAGGCTTACAAAAACTTGTCCAGCAGCAGGCAAGTATAAGGGAATGATGTGGAAGATCTGGCATGGTGATATGTCACTTGGCCATCTCCCAGATGAGATGTCTATGTTCTGCAGGAGGCAGAGGTGACTCTCATGGAGTTAGCACATTGACACTGTTGACTTGCTGCCTGGAGCGGAGCCAGTGTAAGACCTCAGTGTGGTGCAGGCTTGATGCCAAACCTACCAACACATGCCCCCACCCCCATGGGACCAAACATATCCATTAAAGGACCCACAGGACCTGGGCGACTGAGGCTGGACCATCACTAAAAGACAGACATTCTTGCTGATCTCTATGATCAGAAGGAATGTGTCATG